AAAAACTTGGTAATGCCCATATATCTCAAAAGGAGAATGCAATTCTAGTGTTTGCATCTAAAGAAGGGCATAGCAGATTTGGAGAAGGGCAACGTAAACGAAGATGGTAGAAAAACTGTCTTATTAGATGTTCAACAGGTTAGAACTATTTCATTTAGAAGGAAAACACCTTGGGAAGAACATGACCCAAGTTTACAGAAACAGAAAAGCAGTGGCAAGGTGAAAGAATTGCTATTACAGGCCAAATCTTGCAATCTTAGAACTAAGTGGCACTCACTGAAATAGTACAAGGTAAGTTTAAAATTAAAGGGTGGGGACTTTGGCCAGTGAGTAGCTGACTGAAAATTGATGTTAAAAAAGTTTGTGGCAGAAGGCAGTCCCAGCTGGTTCAAAAAGGGATTAGAGACCTATCTATAAACCTGTCTATGCTGTTCTACATAGGATCTCCTGTTGCTGCTGTAGGAGTCATGATACTGGTATAGATGAACCAGTCATTGGTCTGATCAACAGGTTGGCACTATTCCATTTGGAAGGAAAAGGTAAAGATAGTTCTTATATACTTACCTCTCACAGAAACAGCAGCATGAAGGTAAAATGCCTTGCTGCATCTCACCCATCCACTCCATACCAAAAATAGTTCACACTAACAAACAAGATCGTTGTGTCATTCCTTTTTTTTCCCCCCACCTCTGTAGGTTTTCCACTAGAACTGATAGTTATGTCCAAGAAAATTTTTAATTCTGTATAGGTGAAGGTTACCCTGATAATCAATCAGGATAACTAGGCTCCCTTTTCTCCTGATCTACTTTGGAGATAAATAGGAATGGTATCTCAGCAGCTCTTCCTCTGTTTTCCTCAACCCCCAAAGCAGAAATGGACAGGAAGTCATACTAGGGTTTGTGATAACCAATTCTTAAGCAAGCCATATTTCAAAACAAAAGGAAGGCACAGACAAGGAATGAAACACACACAGATTAATTTGCAGCACTGAAGACACTCTTACTTTTCCCAACAGTTCAAGTAATCTTATTAGTACATTCAGGTGAACTGCAAATAATCCTGTTATGGAGGAACGTGAGATGGAGAACATACTGTGCTCTGTAAACTGCAAATTTTTATGGAAAAGTGTACTGTATTTAAAATTCCTCCAAGTTTTTCTTAGCCATTGAAGCTAAGTAGCTGCCCAATAAAATGAAAGTCTGAAAACAGACTGATCAATAGCCCTCCCTTCATCAGCACACACATCCTGGGATGCCAGTTTCCCTGTTCACTAGGACAAGATGATCTGATTTGAAAGGGGAAAATGTTGAAAGGATATGAGCAAAAAATAGCATTTGGTTTGCTTGCTTTTATGAAGGGAATGGAAGAAAAAATGACCACCCTCTTTTTCCCTTTCAAACTTTTTGCATTTATAAATATACAACAGAGACCTTCACTGATAGCTGGTTTAGATTTTAAACAGCTCTGCAATTGATAGACTGCAGTCATGTTTCCCTCTTTTTAAAGAAATCTCTAGTGTCATTAGCAACAAATATGAATCAGAACAGGTACAACAGCATATACTGATGCCATCAGTACAAGAGATGCTTATTAATTTGACAAGTCTGCCTAAGAATCAAGTTGAACTATTTAAATGCTCATTTTGCCTTCACCTCGTGGTGCATTTCTGGCAGCAGTTAAGAGTCATCAGATATCAATGGGCTTTTAAACATTTTAGGGCTCATTTTCCTGCTAATACTTTTCTTTACACATTGTTTAAGTATTTCCTTCATGAACTACTACAGAAGATACCCAAAGAACAAGGTGACAAGTATTCTTCCTAATGTTTTTAAGATCTGTGACTGCCAGCTTACAAAAAATAATAATAAATCTATCAAGAATACACATTCACATTTTTCTTTTTGACTTTGCATTTCCTTGTGTAGTTGTACATAACATGTCTTTCATCCTTTGTTCCCACAGGAATTTTTAAGAGAAATAACCAATGACCATTCTTCTCCAAGCAGCACAGGATATAGCATTCTATGAAAAACTGCCCTCCTTCAAAATAGCTGTCATTTTTTAATTGTACTTGATGAGACTAAAGTCACACATTTCAAGGATGACAGAAGTACCAGAGAGCATGTGACATGTTGCTCCTTTGCTCAGGACTGCCTATGGTCTCAATGTCATCAAGAAAAAGAAATGTCAGCTGTTTAAAAAAAAACAAAAAAACAAAAAACCAAAACACTTTCTCTCGAAGTTCTGCTAAATATCATTCAATGATGAAAAGCACAGGTAAAATAATCACAAGCAACTCCTAAAACAATTCTTCAGTATATTCTATATAATTTATTGACATTATTTAAAGAGTTTGAATTATTCCTTTCTAATTAGTCAAAGCATGAACATTTGTTAAACCTCAGATTACCTGAAACCTTTCTATAAACTCAGAAATTACCATGCTGGCAAAGAGCTCTGGTCCACGGTCTAATTCAGAATTTAGTATCTGAAAACAGCTAGAAAAGAGTACCATCTTCAGAAGCAAAAGCTAGGATAAATTAGACAGTTATCATCATTAGACACATATTTTGCCTCAATGAACTTGTGCACCTAATACCCAGCAGTTAAACATTCACTTCAAATTGAGAAGTGTGAAGTTTTCTCTAATTCATCAGCATTCTTTAAGACATACCTGCACAATACCTAGCAATCCTAATTACAACACGACCACCTCATAGCACTAGACACTGTATAAAAGCTATACAAAAAGGATAACTGTTCCAAAACTCTGTTCTTCTCTAGAAGGACCAAATTATCTCCAAAATTATTTCTCTCAATTTTGTGGAATAAGCTGCACAACAGAACCATCATACCGAGATAAGCAGAACAGAAATTCTTGACCATAGCTTCCTACCTTAATTTATTTCATATATGTCTTAATCATGTCTTTTGTCTAATTTCTGAAGTACTTGCATGTTTCCCTGCACTACATTCTCCAAAACAAACAATCTGTGTATTTTATAACAATCTGCAATGGAGAACCATGACAGATATTTTATTTTTTGGCAACTCAATAAAGTCAGGTACAGTTCTCCAGCCCTGAGGCCAGCTAACATAGTTAAGCTCAAAATTTTTTCAGGGTAAGCTGAAGGAAGGAGGCCGCACTCCAAATACTCATGATGTTCTTGGACTACCTCTGAGCACCATTGCCTGAAAGTGCTAGGTGGCCCACACCAAAACTGCTCAGGGAACATCCTGAGTCTAACAGCACGCACTACTGCAAGTCAGTCCCTAGGTCAATGCCATGGCCCTGTCCAAGTTACTGGAATACATATATAACCGTAAAATATTAGTCTAATATCCTGAAATGATTTATTTTACTCTATGGGTTATAATTTCCAGCAAAAAATATCATTATAGCAATACTGATGCAAAAAACCAAGAGCAGCCAGCTGTCCAATACCAAAACCTGATTATTCAATATTAAGTTGGGGGGGGGGGTTTGTTTGTTTGTTTGTTTAGAGTCAGCAGGTTTTATACCTCACAAGCTAGCAGGTAAGAGTTGTTTTCTTCTTAAATACTCACACACACACTCTCCACACCTGCTCCCATGCTGCTTGACATCATTAAAGTGAATAATTCCAAACATCAGACTTCAATGCTGTTATTTTTTGTGGCCCATTATGTCACATTCTAATTTTCAAGTTTTCAATTACATAAAGGTACTCTTGTGGCTGTGAAAATACCCTTGCAACTCAATTCACAACTGCATAAACTATCAGCGTAAACATTTTGTTTAGTTTGCTAGCACTGTTTGAAACAGTGAAAAAGAGAAATGAAGTCTTCAGACCGCTGTTCATCTTACAGCAGCATCAAAACTAAAAGTTAGACTCAACGATTTAAGAATCGACAAATTATTTCATTGAGCGTTTCAGTAAATGGCATGGAAAGGAAGAAGAACATAAGGCCTCAGGAAAATAGGGGGAGTTGCCACAGATGAAGAAAGAAAATGCAAAATAGAAAGCACTAATCAAAAAACTGAGCAGGCAGACATTTAGTCACAATAATAGATTTTTCTACTGACAGACACTAAATGGTACAGAAAACACCTACAAAATGCTAACACTTAAGGGCCGTATCTTACCCCTTTAACATTTCTACAGTCTTACACAGAACTGATTGCCCAAAGGCTACGTACCACCTCACACCTTGTTGCTTACTCACGCATAGTTGCAGTCATATGCTTGTCCTTTAAGTGACATACCCCTTATTTGTTGTTGAGATGTCCTTCCTTCAGGATCTCCTTATTTCTCCAATTATACTACTTCCTTCATTTCTTCACTTTGTCTTTCAGTAAACATTTCCCCATCAGATCTGTGACAGTTAACAGTGCATTGGCATTGCCTATGATTATGCTCTTGAGATTGGGTCATTTACTTTTGCCCCCCACCCCCAAGCATTTCCTTCACCTGCAAGCAGGAGATACGCTGAAGTAGCTGCTTACAATCACTCCCTGAAAACTCACCTTTACAGTAATGGAGATAGCTACCTAGATCCAATTAGAGGTTCAGCAGGCAAACTGTGAATGCAGAATTTTTAGTCTGGATCATTTCTCTATTTCCACTCTTCTATCTCCCCATCACTTCATGTAAACCCACCGGTTTGCTTTACCCCTTGACTTCTCAAACAATTTCACCATCTCTTCTAAGCATCTGTACATCTACCAGAACATAGTAACTACCCAAGTAGCTAGCCATGAGATAGTATCAAAATTTAAACAAACCACTAGTTCCTCACTGATATTCTGAATAGATTCATCGGTATCTCAGAGCAATGTATAATTCTGAGGTTTTATTCTACCTTATAGGATATAATGAAAGTTATATTCAGGTTCTGCAAAGAATAAAGTAGAAACTATTGGATTAAGGCTTCCCTTTATATTTATAAAAAATTATTTTAGAATGATAGTTTTCCCCAAACACATCATCACGAGCATTCACCCTCTTTACTGAATATTCTGAATATTCTGCTGTGCAGAGACCAGACACAAGTCATTCAGAAAGAAGCCATCCATTGCTGGTAAAGTGGCATGGCTGCAAAACTCTTCACATGGCCTACAAAAAAATCCCTCTGCATTCTCTATTCCTTTAATAATGTAGCTGAAATTTAATTTATAAGTCCTTAGGAAATAGTCCGTCTCCATTTTAGCAGTATTCTAAAATAGCAGGTGAGAGAAAGGAAGGGATGTATAAACAAGAGAGCAGATTAAAATGAAGTTCTATAAGAAACAAAGCATAGCAAGACACACTCACACTCAAAAACCACATACAACCTGTACCTACCAATGCACATCCACCTAACTGGTAAATTTTTCAAATACCCAATGACAGTGTATTATAAACTGGACTGACAAAGAGGGCATCATTCAGAAATCAACATATTTTCAAGTATTCCCCAACTTGATCTTAACCCAGGGCTCCCACTTTTTTCAGCCAACCCCAGAGCCGAGGCTTCCATCACCTACTTTACAAAAGAATACAAAAGTGGTATTAGACATGTTCCAGTCTGTTGTCTGTTGGTATTTCTTCCTGCCTCGGAACACTATTAAAAGTCCATTCAAATGGCTTTCCAATTTCCGCTCCTGTAGCCTGAAACTTCAGCAATACTGAGACTGTATAGGGATCGTATTCCAGTGGGGTCTAGGGCTTTGTCAGGTTTTCATTGTTCTAGTTCCCAAGTGACTCCACTCTAGCACGATCTACAAGGTTTTGGCATTTCACCTCATCACAATGAAAAATTTATGCTAGCATAGGCTAGAATGCACTTTTGTGTAGTGAAGCAAGGCTTCTTTCAAACTCTTAGCAATATGCATGTAAAATTATTTTCCCCTCAGCAGGTGAATAGACATCTTGGATGGCTACCAACTTCTTGCAAATTTGAAGACTAATTTATCCTCATTTTTAAACTTCTTATTATATTTAGTGTACCATTATTCTCACTGGTTTATATCATTATTTGGAGGGTACAGTCTTGACCCTCACCCCACCCCATCATTATTCTTTTCTGATATTTAAAAGTGCATTTCTACTATGATACTATAATGTCCTTAATTACTTTGTCACCTTTCTTATTCACTTTTTAAGTGTCACTCCTGTCACATTTTAGTTAAAAGAAAGTAAAAAGCGAATAGCCAACTGACTATAGCTAGTCAGAATAGCAAAAAAGAAGCAAGGTGTAAAGTTCCTAGAATTGTTCTGACAGGGATTTTCCACTAAATACAGCATCCTCCATTTCAAATCTGGACCCCTGTGAAGCAAATTATTTGATTTCTGCTTTGTTGAATATAACTAAGATATCAATAAATATTAAAGGCAAATAAGCACGTGTAAATTTTCAGAGATTAAGCATTAACCAATTAAAATGCAACTGCAGTACTCCAGCTTATTGCCACTTTTATCATCACCCAAAACCCTCTGTACATTGTACCCTTTTCTCAACAATCCATCCTTTTAGCTTTTTTTAGAACCTAATCTATATCATACTGAATTTTAACAATCTAATTTAACTTCTAAAGCTAGAAGACTACGAAACTAATTTTTCCCCTTAATTTTTACCTATTTTAAAGCTGTCAGTAGCAATCTTATCCTGTTCAAGAAAAAAACCCCACCCGCTATTTTAATACACTTGACTTGCCGCAGTAAAGGGGAAAAATAATGCATCAATACGTCACAAAACTGACTAACAGTGCATAAGTTCATCTAGATATCTCAAGTATAAATTTTACAAAGCCTTCTTCCCCCGTCCCCAAAATATTCAGATTTTAATCCTTCTTTTCCCTCTTATACCTAGCGTCTTCACGCCTAGCTTCTTCATGTATTTATGCACTCTTCTCCCTTCAGTTAGGGAATCTGGGATAAAATACAGCATTCCTAATTCTTACAGTGCTCACAATACCAAATAGCTGCCAAACACATTTGCAGAAGGAAAAAAAAAAAAAAAAAAAAAAAAAAAAAAAAAAAGTTACTTCTCAGTGTAATGACTGCCTAAAATAGGTAGCTCATGTCAGGGATTTTTATTTCTTTATTTTAAACCATGGATCTGAAGGATCCAATTATGTTTCTAAAACGTAGGAAAGCCACTAGGTTCACAGATTGCTACGCTGATATCTCCCCCGCCACAACCATAAAGTTTGTTTAAAAACCCTAGGAAATAATTTATTTATTAAAATAGAGGTGCAAAATTAACCTTACAAAACATTATCTGTTACCAAATCGGTTTTAGTGTTTTATCAAAAAACATTCAGTGTTTTATCATGCTTTGGCTATATCTGGACTATCATTTGAACATGAGAAAAGCAATTTTTTAACAGCAAAGGTGGCAAATGACAAGAAGCAGAAAGACAACATCACCTCTGATCAACTACTAGATCTACTGAATACACATCTTGCCCATTAGCAATGCGAGTTACACAGGAATGGTCTTAATACATTTCTAGCATACAATATTGCCGAGTACGTTAGAAATGTATAATATAGGCAAGTACTATGCCTTCAGCATAGTAGATTTCTGATCTTTGCTGAAAGTTAGGCAAGATTACACATTACTAGTAAGCCTATCACTTGATAATAAAATCATCTTCCTATAACATCAGTAGTAATAGTATAAAATTCCCTAAGTGATATATCCATCATTGGTGGGACCGGAGGGACCACTATAATCAAGACAGGAACTGAGTAGAATAAGTTTTCCCTTTGCAATTACATGACTTTCCTAAATTGGTGTTTCTAATGTGCGTGTAGCACTTAAAAACAATCCAGTAGACAACAAGGAAATTAATTTTCACTGACATGGAAGCCTAACTATTATGACTCATGAGCACATGACTTTGCTCTTCAGTAGGTGTACCAATAATAATAATAATAATAATAATAATGTACATTTGAAGTCGTACCTCCTTATGCCTCTTTCACTTATATGAGTCAAGGACAAGTAAAAAGATTTCACTTATCCATGAAGCAGGGGAAAAAAAAATAATTTGTAAATCCCCTAGCGAGTGACAGGGGCACATTGTTTCTACATTAGCATCATTCCTTTTGAAGAAGGCTTCCTACCTGTATGATTCAGGGGAAAAAAAAAAAAAACAAAACAAAACAAACCCAAAAAACTTCATAACAATGACTTTGGAAACAGATGCTATGTATATATATATTGGGGGCGGGGGGGGGGACTGACACCAAAAAACATACATACATATACACATGCATGGAAAAAAAGCTTCAGATCTGTAAAATCCCACACAATCATGCTTGGAAGTAGCTAAAGTGCCCTCTTTGAAGGAAAACAAAATAAACACAAAAAACCCAAAACAAACCAAAAAACCCAAACATAGGAACTTCCCCATCCGAGAAGATCTTTCAACGTTTGATTAACAGCCTTGTTACATCAATTCAAGGCCTCTCTCAACCAGAACAGCAAAAACTTTCAAACATTATTGCATCAGCATCCTTCTCAAACACACAGAGGGCTTATAACTTTCCATTTGAGTCTTGACGCCACAAATAACCTATCGTTACCAGCTGAATAAGAGTATCAGTTTCCTCATGCAATTCTTAGCACTCAGCAGAAATTAACAAAAAGCTTTGTGTATTATAATTATTTTGCTAAATTTAATCCTTACAAGAGAAAAGAGAAGCAAATAACATCAGATCCCTTGTATTTCAAAACATACAGCAAGACTGCTAGCGTTATCTTTGACTTTGAGGCAGTAGTTTTAACTGTCAAGTAGATAATAAAGTAAAAAAAGTGTCTAAACGTCTCAATAATATTACAGGGGATGATAACAACTGGATACTGAGGAAAGATTTTTCACTACATTTTAAAAATATGGTATGATTAAAAAAAGGAAGAGTAGCTAAGTTATAGGGAAAGTATGTTTAAAAAGAAATCTTTTATCTTGCGTAAGTCAGCTCTAGAAAAAGAATTAATCTATGGTTTGAAGAACAGCAAGTCCAGATGACTGAAACACTAAAGCAAATTATTCAGGAATCAATATTTTTCTGTATCGCTAGCTGCAAAATGCTTTTAAAAAGTTAATCAAGACCAAAAAGCTCTCTTCAAAGTAGGTACACAGTATTACTCTTTCAGTTCAACCACTATTATATTCCCCAAACTTCCTATATTAAAGGCATACTTCTCCTAGACACAAAACAAAGAACAGGAGAGCTGTGAAAAAAGTGCTCTTCTGTTTGCACCTACTACATGTTTTTTCATAAAGTAACATAAGACCTTATTCATCCCTTGGTTATGCTAACTATAAGTGTAAGAAAGTGAAAGAAAACTCAGTATCTCTCCCAATATAAAAGAGGAAATTTCAAAGTCTTTTCATGAGTGCTTCACCCTATTCCATTAGCTTACTTCAGTGAGTTATGAAATGCAAAATGCACATGATTCCACTTTTCTTCAGTGCCACATTTCACCACTTATTTAAGCAACTTCAAAAAATAGCTATTACTAATGGACACACACCACTTTTCTTTGCTCTCCAAGTTTCAAAAACAGTCAAGATTTGCCAGTAGTATTGGGTTCAGATGCAGAGATGGTCACAATACGTATGACTGTTCCTGACAGCATCATCTCATTTGACTGGTACTTCAATGAGGAAAACAGTTAAGAGTCTTTTTAAAATAACAAAACAAATGCAATACAAAAAAAAAAAACATTTTAAAAGTTTCCATTGCTTAATTTTCTGCAGAAAGTTTATGGCTGATGATTCTAAATGAAGATACATGAAGTAAAACAATAAACCCTCATGTTCAGAAACTAGGTAAACTAAATCCAGAACACAAGCTAGAATAGAAAACATACATATGAATTAATAGGTCCAATAATGGAAATCAGAAAACTCACAGATATTTAGAGTGTTTGGATAGAAGCTCAATTCTAGCAATCTCAGTAAGCTCTCTCCGAAAGAGAATTTTCAATTAATATGCATATTGCTGTAAGGAATTGTTATAAAGAACTTAAATATAGGCCTTCTTGAGAAAAAAGTATAAAACTATTTGTTTTCGCCATACTTTCTAGAGCAATACTTGAGCTCAAGAATAGACACAAATTGAAAAAATGAAGACTGGTTAACATTAAATGGTACGTTACATACATGAAATATTGGACTTGATAAGCTATCTTGTACCATCTTGCTGTTCAGTTATGTACTGAAAAAGAGGTACAGAAATTCTTTAAAATGTTTCACACTATTCCGTGCAGCACAATATTCTTTAAGAAAATAAAAATGCAATCAACTCAGAAAGGCTAGAGAAAGAAACTTAGAAACTTGTTTTGGTTTTCTTTAAAGGAGACTTCTGACAACTTTCTCAGATTCTCCCCTGAAACTAGCCAGAAAATTACTAAGACTACTTTAGAATTTCAGGCCCGATTACTGCTTTCTCATTTTTTCCATGGATCACTGGCAAGGTGAGAAAGTTATGTTCACCAAGTCAACCAGAGAGTAAAAAGTAGTCAAAAACCAGGCCAATACGATTTCAGTGCTCTCTTAGTCAAAATTTAGAAAACCAAAAAAGCTCTTTATTACTCTACTTATCTTCTATAATTGTCTTCAAAAGATTCACATAAGATTTGTGAAAGAAATTCAAATTTTAGCACTTTTATTTCAATCCAAAAGAACCAGAAGAAGCAAGCAGTCCTGGAACCTTCTCTCCAACATAGCCACCAGGTGAGCAGCAGGAATTCACATCTCCACAACCATCCACAGATGCACAGAGCCTGAAACTCACTACATTTTTCTTATATTCTTGGACCATATTTCCATAGAAGAATAGACTAATATTTACTAGAAGAAATAGTATTTATTCCAACTGACAGCACAGATTTCTTGCTTGTCAGAGAGAAAGAGTACTCCCTTCCCCAAGTGATGCAAGTGGATTTTTCAAGCCTCATGACAGAAAATCTTCACACCTGCCTCATCTAGGAAATGCACAGAGATCCTTAATCTCAACAGCTGTGCACTTAGTGCTAGGTTACACATGGAGCATTCCTACTGTTTCTGATGAGATATTTATATAAGAATTTATAGTTCTCTGTGGGCATATCTGCATTTAACATATGACAAATAACATTATATACAAACTTCACTTGCAATTTTAAAATAGAGCTTGATGCTGGTTGGCATGATGCTGTTTTGAAAGACATTTACTGCCACTTTCAAAAGCAAACATATAAAACAATAAAAAGAATGACATCTAAAATACCAGGAATATATTTTATTTGCCATGCTTTGCATTAATCAGGCAAGCAATACTTTTATTTTGCTGCTTTTCTTGATTTGAATGCAGAAGTAGACTTCTAACCAAGATGACCTAAGAATATGAGACAAATGATGTATAGGTAATGGTACAGCAGATTTTCTGGAAAATGCCTGTGTTGATAATTTCGATTTAAAGTGTTTACACATAGCTAGATGTTCAATCTTTGAACATTCAAAAATATCAAAACACTTAAACAAGTTTAACACAGTTAGAAAGGACTTACTTTTATTGTAGCAGGTTGCTAGTACACCTTTATCTGCAGGACTGGTACTAATGTGCCAAATTTCACCCACTTGATGAAGGAGAACGTTTTTGTTTATAATGTTATTTTCATCATCAAAATCTATGATGTGAATCTGCAAATACAATAAAAGAGAACATTAGGGTTTCAAATGTTTTCCTGTGGGTCTTAATTATGCACGATGACTGCACAGAAGAATTTAATGAGAATTTTATAACAGATATCTACTTTAATTAATTGTTATACTAACAATTTAGTATATCATTGATTTCATGCAGGATATACTTTTCTAGAAAAACACAAGCAATTTCCCTGTTTTGAGGAAATACCATATTTATTCTTCTCGATTTTGCAACTTAAAGCTTGAAGGTGATTTTTCATTTTATGGCTAATAGTAAATAAGCCACTTGTATTGCAGTTCAACACTTCTTATAGCAATAAACAGAAATAACAACATTACAATCCTTAGTCTAAATGTTTGCACCAATTCTGTATCCAAATCATCTAATTCACACATCCTACAAAGAAAGAAGGGGAGAAAGGGAAGGGACTCTCATTTGAAGCAAATACTGTAACTCAGCAAGAAACATTTTGAGAGTTCACTTCAGCAATCACATATCTGTGGCAATATATAAATCTGTAATACTTTTTATACTATATAGAACAATAAAATGTTGAACGGAAAGATGAAGAAAACCAGTAACATTTAAATACCTAGACATGATTTTTTTAAAAGACATACAGCTAAGTTTGCTTTTTGTGATTTCCATTTTTGTTTGTCATGGAGTTTTTGTTGGGGGGGGGGGGGGATGTTTTTAAATAGGTCTATGTTACTCTCATTTTTCCTTCTTAGTTAGTTGTTTTTCTGTAGTTACCTCAGAAATACAAGGAATTGAGAAAGATACTAGCCTGGCACAACATACACAAGTGACTACTCATGGGACTAACTACACTGAGCTCAAGAGCGAACAAATAAATTCTAGAAGACTCAACATTTTTAGAAAACTGTATCCTCATTAAAAATTCATTAGCAAAGTTGGGTGAACAATGAAGAGGAAAAAAAACAAGAGACATTCTATCATAATGTGTATTGGGTTTGTGTGGCAAGGTTTTGGTAGCAGGGGGACTACAGAGGTGGCTTCTGCTGGAAGTTTCCCCCATGTCCAACAGAGCCAATACCAGCCGGCTCCAAGTCAGACCCGCTGCTGGCCAAGGTCGAGCCCATCAGTGACGGTGGTAGCGCCTCTGGG